TAAAGTAAGAAATTTTAAATTTTAAATGGAAAATTAATAAATTAACATATGACATAATAAATAACGTATAATAGTTATCAATAAAAAATAAATTTATTTATTTATCAGAATAAAAAGATATACTTTAGGGTTTTCATTTATTGTTTTGGTGTTATCAAAAGTAGAAACTAGAAAGTGGTCTAGTTGCTTTGACTCAAGGGAAAAAAATCCAATAATTTTATTTTTTATGAGCATTTCTTTATACACACCAATCTATTTTTGACCCTTCATACCAGCCTATATATTTTAGCACAAAAAACTCTAATCCTCAAACTTCAATAATAAACCAATTTATTAAAGAAAAAATAACCACTTATCTTCTTGGACAATGAGTCAGACGCCTTTTTTTCGTTGCTAATGCACGAATATGAGTAAACCTTTTTTTTTAAAAAAATTATAAGATATGGCCAATTTTTTGGGTGATTAAGTTCTATTATTATTATTTTTTAATTTAATGTTTCTGTATATCAACTTTTATTTATTTTTAAATATCTTTTTCTTTTAAAAGATTTGTTAAACCCATATGTTTAATAATGTTTATTAATAAAGGATAAATACAATTATATTTATGATTATTAATTTCTAAAATGAAATATAATATTTAGTCTTATTATTTTTAACTGTTTAAATCTTAGTTTGTATTGTTTTTAATGATTTGTAGGCATATTTTTTTCAATAAAGATAATATATTTATATTATATAAAAGAAATATAATTATTGTTACTTTATATGCTACATAAAAAATTGAAAACATTTATATGATTACGTCTATGAATAATTTATTTAAGAAAAATACATTTTTTTCTATTTGATTTGATATATAATTTTAAGGGCTTTTGTCATAAAAGTCCCCAAATTTACATAAAAAAACCGGTTATGCCCAAAATCGTTTTTTTTTTTTACCACAAATGCCTAACATTTGCCCCTCATGTTTCATTTCAATGTTTTTTACCGGTTCCCTTTAAACAACCGGTTACTTCCACCTTTTTAACCCCCAAACACAAACCTCTTCCGTTAACATGGATCCAAAGTCTTTCCCTCCCCTATCTTCTATTCTCTCCCTCGTCTTCTACCCAAAGTATCTGTAAAATGTCTACTTCGTCTGCCAAAACAAGCTTCCAAGGTGGTTCAACATTGAGAAAGAAAAGAATAGTTAGATGTGGCTGTGGAGATGTGTGCAAGGTATCTGTTGCTCGAACACCTGAGAACTATGGAAAGAAGTTTTACGGGTGCCCTAATTACAAGGTAAACAATTTACCCTAATTTGTAAATTTCTTGAGAAACCTTGAAATGGTACAATGAAGAAACCTTGAGAAACCTTGAAACAATTTGCCCTAATTTGTAAATTTGCCCTAATTTGTATGTAATTCATACAAATTATTGTTTTTTTCTAGGTGGAAGAAGAGGATTGTGGTTTTTTCAAATGGTATAATGAACAAGATGGTCACATTATCGACCCAACTCACACAAAGCAGAAGCAGGGGGAGGGGCAGGGGCATGGACAGTTGAAGACTTTGGTAGAAATAATTGTAGGTCTTTTGGTTCTTATTTTTGTAATGGTGACAATAGTTGCTTTGAAGATGTAAATCATTTTGGATTGGCTTTTGGTAGAATGTTTGGGTTGACTTGGCTTTTGGTTTTTAGTTGCAAATGGAAGTACAACGTTGAAGTTGGCTAGTAACTGTTGTTTTGGATGAAGATTAAATAGCTAAATGGTATATGGTTCATAATATACATTAAATTGCTAAATGGTAAAGTACAATGCTAAAATTGGCTAACTGTAGTTACAAATGATACCTAATATATATATATATATATATATATATATATATATATATATATATGCCAATGCTGTGAAATGGTATGATGCTGTGAAATGGTAAAATATAAATTATCTGTGAAATGTAAATGGTAAACATAACAAACATATGGTTCATAATATACATTAAATTGCTAAATGGTAAAGTACAATGCTAAAATTGGCTAACTGGTAAAGTACAATTGATACATAATATATATGCCAATGGTATAGATCATACAAAATATTTGTGAAATGCAAATGGTAAAGTACAATGAAATGGTACAATGCAGTGAAATGGTACAATGCTGTGAAATGGTAATATAGAAATTATCTGTGAAATGTAAATGGTAAACATAACAAACATATGGTTCATAATATACATTAAATTGCTAAATGGTAAAGTAAAATGCTAAAATTGGCTAACTGTAGTTACAAATGATACATAATATATATGCCAATGGTATGGATCAAAAAAACATAGTATAAAATAACAAACATAACAAACATATTATAACCATAATGAGGGGATTCATTACATCATATTCATGTACCAATATAAAATATTGCAAAAGATCAACTAACATGTACCATCCATCCATTTGTACCAAATTGCCAAAAATATATCCCAAAAAGGCAACCCAAAAGGTACATGAGAACAAGTGGATGAAAGGTACACTTAGTGGGTGTATAAACTAACATGTACAAAATGTACCAAAAAGGGCTTCCTGTGCAAATGCCCAAGTATACCATTCCCACCTAAATCCCCCATATACATAACTAACTACTCCAGATTCACTGGATTTGAACATGTGGAACCACCCCATCTTTATCAAAAACTGCCTTTTTAAGCTTTAGTTTAGTGATCCTCTCTGATTGCTTTCTTTTCCTTGTCTTAGGCACTATCAGAACATCACTAGCAACCACATTCCCATCATCAGCAACCTCATTATTTAGAACATCACCAGCAGCCTCATTCCTATGATTAATACCTTCACCTTCAATCACATCACCATCATCTTGATTTTCAACACCTTCACCTTCACCTTCAATCACACCACCATCATTCCCATGATTAACACCTTCACCTTCAATCACATCACCATCATCTTGATTTTCAACACCTTCACCTTCACCTTCAATAACACCACCATCATTTAGAACATCATTTACAAAGTCAGCTTCACCTTCATCAACATCAGGTTCATCATCATTTAAGTCCTGATGCAAGAAATAACAAGGTTAATAAATAACATATATTTAAAATTACAAGGTTAATAAATTACCATCTCAACTGGTGGAGTGTCATCAAGTTTAATTTCCAACCACCCCATGCTTTCAATTTCACCCATGGAATATCTGGCTTCAAGTAAATTTGCTATGTCTTCAACACTTATCTTCATTTTATCTGGGAGAACATCTGATGCATGTCCTTCAGTGAATTCAGGTTCTACACCACCTTCATTCACCAATGGAACATCAGATGCATCTGATGCATTTCCAGAACCAAGAATTTGATCAATTGCATCTCCAACTTCATCAAGACTTTGTTTTAGATCTTGGGCAACCTTTACTGGAACATCAACTACTTCTTCTTCGATCACCATAATGCCATCTTCCTCTTGTATCACCTCATTCACCAAAGGAACATCATTAACAGCAGGAAGTTGTATCACCTCATTCACAACTGGAACTTGGTTATTGACCAAATGAACTTCTTTAAAATTTGGCTTTGGCACTTTCACTGACACCTCAGTTTCTTCCTCTTCTATCATCTCATTCACCAAAGGAACATCATTAAGAGCAGCAGCTTGAGCAACCTCATTTGGAACCTGGTTGTTGACTTCATCCTGAAATTTGGTTGTTAACTTCCTATTTGGCCTTCTTACACCCAATTTCTTCCCTCTAACATCTGGGACAGTTACTTCACTTGAAATTTCACCAACTCTGAAACTTGGGCCTCTTAAACTTAATTTCCTCATTTTCTTACTAGTGTTAGAACTTGAAGCATGCAGACTGCCCTGTTGACTTGCTTGTTGACTAGCTTGAGTGGTTATAGTTGATGTCACAAGTGGTTGACTGCCCTGTTGACTTGCTTGTTGACTAGATTGAGTGGGTACAGAAACATGTGGATTGGATCCAACTACATCACATTTCCTAGGCCTCCCAATCTTCTTTGGTGGCATAGGAACTGGTACCTTTTTTTCATTCTTGCAACCTTTTTTATTATGCCCATACTCAAGAAAATTAGCACATCTCACAGTCCTTGGGGGTTTCACCCTTGAAGTGGAACTAAACTTACTCTCTTTCTCACTTGCATGCCTCCTTCTTTTGGTTTTGGGCCTACCAGGAATTTTCCTACCAACAGGTGGCAAAGGCTTGTTGTATCCAGTTAGAGGCCACATATTACTCCCATTCACAGGACTGATGTTTGTTGAGTAGCATTCCTTGAATTTAGTCACTAAAAAGTAGTCACTAATATATCCATCTGGAGTTTGATGGATATAATTAATAGCTGCTATGGCATGGACACAAGGGATTCCAAACAAATCCCATAATCTGCAAGAACAAATCCTACCATCCAAATCTACCTTGTAACTAGTACATGCTCTTCTCACTTCAAATACATTTCCTAAGCTATGCACTACTAACCAAAGCCTGCATGAAGACAAATGAGTATGTATTAGTCACTTCAAATACATTTCCTATGGCTGTGAGTAATTCACCTTTTACCCGACCCTTTAGGAAGCATCCATCCAACCCTATTACCTTCCTACACCCTATTTTCCAACAAACACTTAAAGCCTTGAAACATATGTAAAACCTTTTAAAATAATTCTTATCATCTGGATTGTTAGTAACACCAACTTTGCATGTAGACCCAGGGTTTGATCTCAATAACTCTTGGGCATAATCCCAAATTCTTGCATAGTGTTCATTTAATTTACCCTAAATCAGTTCTTTTGCCCACTGTTTTGCCCTTCTAACCTGTCCTATAGATACCACACATCTATATCTTTGTTTGATGTCACTGATCATCTCCCTAAGTTTAACTTTGGACTTATTTGCTATCTCAGTTACATAGTGTCTTCCAATCCATTCCGGGTTAACAATAGACCCAAATTTAAACACTTTAGAACAAAGATGCTCAGAATTCATTGCTTTAACCTGAAAAGGTTCTGTCATTGTACATCCATGCTGCATAAAGTCTAAAAGGGCATTTATTATCTTCATGTCTCTTACCACATCTTGCAACAATTCTTCTATTGTCACTCTTCTGAAAGTATATTTGGTACCCTCCATTTACTGCATAGTTTGTCACACAGAATTTCAGTTGTGCAGGTGATTCGAACACGTCCCCTAACTTAGGTTCCATCTTATCCCACCTAACATTTGGATCGTGTATTCTGTATTTGTTAGTCACTTCTTCCTCTGCCTCCTCGTCATTTTGCAAATCATTACCATGGTCCACTCGATCTTTCATCTCATCAGTCATACTTGCATTTCTAATGTTCGCATCACAAAGTAGAATGTTAAGAAAATGATCCTTACATTTATCAAGCCTTGATACAAACTCCTGTCGTGGTTCATGATCCATGTAAATCCCGTGCAGCTCAAAATCCATCTCATTTAACCCAGAAAATGGCTCGTAAATACCAGCAAATGGGTCGTCGTAACCATCGTCTAAAGAACCCATTTCTAACCCCTACACAATCGCAACCATTATCATGAAAAGTAAGGACTTAATAGAGATGATTTCTCGTAAAAAACATGATCAGACCGTAATTTCTTACCTCTTGAAAAACCCTAGCTTCAGACAATGAGAATGCTTCACCAAAATGGAAGGGTGGAGAGTGTTAACAGAGGACAAACGGAGGAGACGAGCAAATGTTACCGGTTGCAAATGGGGAAGTAACCGGTTGTTTAAGGGGAACCGGTAAAAAACATTGAAATGAAACATGAGGGGCAAATGTTAGGCATTTGTGGTAAAAAAAATGATTTTGGGCATAACCGGTTTTTTTATGTAAATTTGGGGACTTTTATGACAAAAGCCCTAATTTTAATATATAACAACACGTTATCGAACAATGTTATACGCTAATATATGATTAAATGGACTTTAAAAAATAGATTTTACTTTTAATTTTTGTCCTAGTAGTTTTATTAAATAATATATTTTACAAATTACAATTAGGTTTTTTTATTAAAAAATAAAAATTTATTTATATTATATTTATTAATTAAAAATAAATTAATAATCATTACTTAATTATTATTGTAATAATGACATTGATAAAAAAGTGTTTTTAATCATTATTGAGAAAATAAATGAAAAAAAAAGACATAAACATAATAGATTGATATGTTTAAAGTAGGATCCATTTTCTATACTTATGTCACGTAATAACATTTTTTTTCTTATAATCCAACTCCTTTATGACAATTTTCAAAACACTCTATTCTTAAATATACATTGTTATTATTTTTGTTGGACCTTATATTTAAGGTGTATAATAAATTTTTTTTCCAAAAAACATATTTTCTATATTCATGTCACGTAATAACAATTTTTTTCTTATAATCTATCTTCTTTATGACAATTTTCAAAACCCTCTGTTCTTAAATATACATTATTATTATTTATGTTGGATCTTATACTTAAGGAGTATTTGGCATAATTAACTGAAAACTGATAGTTAGTAGTTGTTAGCTGAAAATTGTAGCATTTATTTGTATATGAGTGTTCGATAAAAATAGTTTGAAGATTTTAAAACATGTAAAATTACAATGTAAGGGCAATGTAGTAATTTGTAATAATATGTAAGGATTTTTTGTTAGTTGCTTTTGAATTTGTAACTATTTATTTAGGTTAAAAACTAAAAGCTTCTCTTAAGTTCTCAAAAGTTGTGTGTCGAACACACATTTAAAGTGATGGCATTCTAAAAAATACTTTCAAACATACATTATTATTTTTTAAATGTTCATCTCTATTTCATATAACATCATTTCCATTCTCCAACATCATTTCGAAAATTTTCCTTCAAAATTTCTCTACATACATGTTATATAGTGTTTTCATGAGGCGTTGTGTTCGAATCACATAAATCTCTAAGGAAACTATTTTTTCTGATCATTTTACTCAAACGGAAATACATTATTCTTTGTTTATCGTAGTATGAAAACATTTTTTGATCGGAAATTTTGAAAATGTTCAAAAATCAAGATCAGTTTGATCTTAAAAACTTGTGGACTTGTTCGAAAAATTATGGACATGTTAAAAATCATGAACATGTTCGCATATATGTAGCTTTTATTAATAATCTATACATGTGTCTTTTATTAATATTATGTTTTTATTAAAAAAATCAAGTCGTTTGCCAACATTCTTCGTCAATCTAAGCGTTGAAATTATATTTTGGCAAGAGATTGTCTCATACAAACTACGACCGCCTATGAAGATGTAGCTAGTCATTCATAGGATCAGGAAGTTGTTGGATTTGATTGGATTGTTCTGACGATATGGGTATGTTAGGATGCAAATTTATATATGGATTGACTTTAAAAGACCCACTTGCATATGATATTGAAGCCTTGTGACATCAGAGAGTGAGAGAAACTTGTTAGCACTTCTATATATAGTGGGTTGGATACCACTTGTAGAGTATGATTGGGAGATATAGTTCATAGAGAGTTTTGAGTGAGTTAATTATGTAGACTAAATCTAGTTCATTTTTTTAATCACCTCAAGATAATCGAATACATCTTTTAGCACCAAAATCACTATGTTCTTTGTGTTCTTACAATTTTGCATGCCAAATTAAATGCTCATAATTCACTACATTGGTATTAGAGCGAGTCTTCAAAGGTCGAAGCGGTTTTTGAAGAAACGGTTCTCCATTGGCTAATTTCAACACAATTTGAACAATTATGGTGAGTCTCTCGATGATCTCTCAGAATCTCTTGATTTCATTTCATTTGATATATTTGCTTTTCATTCTAAATTTTGATGATCTGATTATCATTTGTTAATCTAGCCCAATTATTTTTTGTTTAGCCCAAATAAATCATGATTTGATAATACTCATCGACATTCACACTATAATCCAATGAGTCACTGTTCATTTTCAGTTCGTAGTCTTTTGGCCCAATTAATTTCATGTTCTGATTACTATTCATCTAATCCAAATTTTTTAGCCCAAAAATCATTTTGATTGGTCTTTTAAGTAAATTTGATCTATTATGTTCATGTGCTTTCTTCATCGTATCATCTGAGCATTAGGTTTCAATTCTAGATCAAATTAAGAATTGCAAATTTTTTGATCGATGATTTGATTTCATGTTCTTACCATTATCGATTCTTTTTGATCTCATATATAAATGTTAGAATCATTTTGAACAAACTCTAGTTTTCATCCGACTATATTCGACTAAATTCTTGATATCTTTGTTTGACATCGGATTTAATTTTCTCGTTATTCACAATGATTTGAAAAGTATCATTGACTGAGTGAATGGAGATTGTACTATGAATTATTTTCTATGAACTGATAAAGAAAATTCAAGAAGATGATAAAGAATAGCTGCAACTGAAACGTCCCAAAAATATAGTCCAAAATTTTCATTTTTTAAATCAAGCAAAATAGTATTCCAATGATTATCCATACATCCCAAATAAAACAAATGTATCTAATATAATAAAATTAGAGTGAAATATCAAATGTGGAATCCATGTGGTGTGTGCATTGCAGTCACCCGGAGCTCTTCCCTTTGCCACTGGAAGTACCTGAAACATAAATTGAAAACCGTGAGCACAAAGCTTAGTGAGTTCCCCAAACTACCCCATACCATATATAATAAATCATATATTGGGGCCCCGCTCGACATTGGGCCCCGCCCGAAATCCGGCCCCGCTCGGTATACAAATATGTTATTCTCAAGCCTCGCCTGCCATTGGGCTTTGCCTATTACACATATACAATATATCATATAGTGTGACATCCCTATTTTCACGGCCAGAAAAGACCAATTTTGTTTATGCTTTATAAAAATCAGAGTACTTCTTTTAATAAAAATGTTGCAGAATTTATTCCCAGAAAAATACGATAAATACGTTATTAAAACATTTTCGAAGAAACGTATTTTATTCATTTCAAAATGTTTGGGATGTCATCGTTAATACAGAAACATAAGCATAAACAGAACTTACATTTATTTACACTAGTGATCTACATCTCTTTAAATCTCTCAGTGTAATGTGACTTCATTTCAACACCTGTGATATAAATAAACTGAGTGGGTCAGGTTGGGAAACCTGGTGAGTACATAGGGTTTTCAACCCACAATAATATAATTATTATGTTTAAACAATCAAAAAATCAACCCAATAACCCATCCCCATTATCTTTTTTAATCTTAAGGATCTACCCTAAGATTTAACTATTCCTCGTTCATTCATTCCTAAGGATCATCCTAAGGAATCGACACAAAGTCCATCATTGCCACGGTTTACACAACGGGCACTAAGTCTGCATAGTCGCTAGGGTTTAGGCATCAAGTCTGCATGATCACCAAGGTTTAGGCATCAAGTCTGCATGATCACCAAGGTTTAGGCATCAAGTTTGCATGATCACCAGGGTTTCGGCATCAAGTCTGCATGATCACCAAGGTTTAGAGTACATCGGGTGAACACATAGTTCACAACACCTACAGATTGCGACCCTGCTAGTGTTCCATTGGACTGTCTAGAATAGTCAGTAGTTGTCATCCATACTCTGCTGAATGACGGGGCCATCATTTGGGAAAAAGGTTTCTCACGTCGTCCACCTCTCACCCTCACCTCGTGGTCTACAACACCTCTCAACTCATCATTCAACTCATATTCCATCTATTATATCTACCCATGTTTACCCCAACATTATCATAGATATAAAACACATATACAGTTTAAATCATTTAAAACCTGTATGAAATCGTTCATTTAGCATAGACAACAAGTACTCAGATAATATGCACACATAGTACGTAATTTATATAAAATACTTCATATCTATGTGTAAGATGAAAGGGAACTATGCACTCACCTGAAAGGTGGTGACTCAGCACTCGGACAACGCTTCGATACTCTCAAAACAATTTCCTTCGATAAAACCTAGTACCAATACCACTAGGGTTTAGTCTAACGATAACCGCGACAAATTAATTAATCTGACTATTATTATTATTATATAAGCGTTAATAAGACTCAATATAACTCATAATAATAGCCCAAATAATTATTTTAAGGACCTAATAACATTCCTATAATTATTTGAAAGCTATATTAAAAATTACGTAAGCGTAGCACACTTACAACGAATTTTATCGAAAACCGGAACTTAATTGGAGCAACGTTTTGAAACCGAAAGGCTCTTTTTCTCGGGACTCCGGGAGCCTCGGGGCTTCCCTCGGGAGCTAAGGGGTTTTCCTAGGGTTTAGGGGTGGTTTGGGGAGCTAGAGAGAGAAAGAAACTAGAGAGATAAGGAGAATTGGCGTGAAAATGAAGGCTGGCCTCGCAGCTATTTATAGGCGCGAAGCCTCTTGGATTACGCTGGGCGTACCGAGGCTACGCTGGGCGTAGTCTTGGGTATGGATGCCAGCTTGCAGCCAGCTGTCTCGCATTCCAGTTGGATAAGACCCGAAGGTACGCTGGGTGTATCG